TTCTAGGATTAATGGTACATATGATTAACTTAATTAGCCTTGATATATAAACAAACGCATAACTCACCAACTAACTGAATAGCAGAATAGACACAATAACTCTCACTACTAACACAGTAATGTTTCTGACACTGAATTGACACACTGCTTACTCACTGACTTCTCAGTCACTGATTATTTGTTTTCCAAATCATAATGTCATGCATCCTCTAACTAACATCTCAATTAAAACATTGAAAATATAGCTTACAAAATGTTATAACAGTGTGTAATGTTAAACTTTAACTTTGTGTGATATTTATACAATTCTACTATATTTAATTTAGATTTGTTTGTTTGATTGAGGGGAGATCTTGATGGGTATAATTTCTGTTTATAAGCTTGCTCATTCTAAATATTTTTAAATTCTTATTTCCAATTTCTATGTTCAAACAACAGGAACATTTCTTATCACAGTAGCCATGGCATCTTGTCTTTATTTTGTTTTTGCTTTAAAAAAAAAGGCATTGTAAAATTGTGTGATTAATTATATTATTCACTTTTGATGGTAATCCCAGCAAAATGCTGCTACTTATGAAAAATGAACTGTAAAAAGTTTTGAATGAAGTAATTTTTTAACATATAAGGGGTACAACTACATTATGTAATGTGAAATTCTTCTGGAAACTTACCTGTAATTACTAATACTATAATTTTTTATTTAATCTGATAGATGATGAAATTAGTATGACAAAACCTTGAATAATGCTCTTAGGTTTTCAACATAATCAGTCATCCTCTAGGAATATTTGTATGTTTATTTTTCACAAACAAGGTGTCATTATGTACTTAATATTCATATGCAGACACATAATATGTATGTACTTACTGCATATCATGGTACATTTGGCTAAATGCCAAATGACTATTTTTTACAATAGTTTTATGAAACTTGAAACTGTGTAAACATACTTGTAGTATTTTAAATATCTGATTCAGTCATTTATTTTTTGTTCAGATATTTTGTACATTTGTCAAATACCTTGAAATTAATATTTGTAACATTTGTACAGAAGTAGCTAGTTTAAAAAATGATGGAAAATTAGGCAAACAAAAATTTCATAATTTGTGAGAAGGCATTTGTAAAGATAGACTATTAGTAGTTAGTACAGTAAAGATAACATTTTTCTTAATCTGAAAATACATTTCTGGCAGATACTTACCTCTATACACAGAATAGCTTGATCCCTTCATACAACTGCCAAAGAAATTTGCATGCCAATAGCCTTGAGCTACCTTCCACCTAAAAATTATTTAACAAGAACTGAGCTAATGCATGATATTAACCACATATTATTCCATGAAAAATATTTCTTTTTCTATCATATTGCAACATTATAATTCAAATTAAGTATAAAATGATAAAGCAAGCTTTAAACAAATATCAGAACTGTAATTGTGGCAAAAGTTGTTCACAAACATCTTTTCTTCTACCTATATATCATCAAAATAAGCTTTCATTATTTTATTCAAATCTCTACATGAATCTCCACTGAAGTGGAAGCTAAACTGGCTTACACAATTTAAAAGGATAGAAAAAGAGTTTTTATTATGTGTTTAGATCACTAGTCTATGGCTTCTCAAAGCTGAGATATAGGCAATTACATCACCTCATGACAACTGAGGTTGAGAAACAATAATTGGCTAAAATCAATATACTAAACTTGTATTGAAGTTCAATGGTGAAATTAACATTATTTTGTTCAAAATTCTTTTGATTTTCTTCCTAGGTGTGCAGGATTATGCTAATAAAAATTCAGGAAATTCACAAACACTAAAGGTTAAAATTTTTCTATATTGAAAATGTATTTCCGATAATATTTACCTCTCTCACACTATAGCTTTATTCTGACTAAATTTTCTCTTCTCTATCCATCTGAGCATTGGTATGAATCTTACCTCACTTGCTCCAGCCTTTATACCCCACTATATTGCACATAGTAAGTTAAATCTTGTGACTTTTTCAACCTATGTCAACATGCTCCATATCCTAGATCCGTGTATAAGCTCCCTATTATTACTACCAATTCACTTTTTTTAAGACTTTGCAAATTAGCAGACCTGAAACCCGGCCATCATGGGGAGGAAGGGTGGGAGAGTGTGAAAGGAGGTAAGTATTATCGGAAATACATTTTTGGTATAGGAAAATGTCAACTTCCGAAACACTTACTTCACACTATAGCTAGAATACCAAATGGACAAGATGGAGAGGCTGGTGAGGGCAAGATCCATACTAAATGTGTCTGCGTAGAAAAGAGGTGTGCAAAAATGAGATATAATAATAGCACACTAGTGGGGTCTGCATTACTTCTGGTACAGGTATGCTCTTCGCTCGGAAAACGTGAAATCCAATACCTGGGAGGTAAAGGCTGACCAGCCACAGAAGCAAAACCATGTCTTCAAGAGAAGAAAAAATTAGCTTAGGGACAACTATACCAGAACTGGCCTGCTCCTGCAATACCAGATGCATCTGGTCACAGTCAGTCGGGCCAGTCGATATACAGATCCCCCACACCAGTTGAAATATTATATATAACTCACAAGATTTGTCCAGGTCCCAACCAGGAATATGAGATCCTACATCTCATTGTTGGAATTACAAGGCTGTGAACCCAAAGCTAAATCCTTGGTGTAGTGGCTAGGGCATGAGGACTACAGTGTGCTATTATTGGATCTCAGCCTGAAAGTTACAGAATGTTGCATGTCGAGTCACTGGAATCACGAAGAGAAGGCAAGCAGCACAAAAGTGGACAAACCCTCACCCCAACCTGAAGAAGCACAAAATGCAACAAACTGAACTCAGAATTATGGGACCTTTCTCTTCTCATTCAAACTGAAGAAACAAGATATTACTTGTCCTGGGATTATGAACAGAACTCCTGACTCCCCAATTTAAGAGGCAAGCAAACACCTCATGCCCCCAGAATTATGAGGAGGCTGTAGAACAAAGTTAAACTAAGTCCAACCAATGACATAGGAATTGACACTCCATGTGCAGAATGACAAGGAGTTGAGGGCCCTTTCCCATGATCATCAAAATGAAGATAGATGAAAAACAAGGGCAACACTCAACTCTACCAGATAGTTAACTGTCATCTCTGAACTGGAATTACGAAGAGGCTCCTACGTTGGCTGGTCCTGTTCCCACCATAAATCTGGGAAAACCATCCAGGGTTATGGGTAGGAGGGCACCCAGCTTTGTCTTTTTCTTCTTGGAATAGACCTCTGTCCACCACTCCAGCAACTGGAAACTGAGAGTAGTAAGGACTCCCACACTTCACTAGGTGAAATTGGGGGATAACTCATGTTAGGAAGTCATGAAGAACAATGCTCTGGAGTGCAATAGGTGAACCACATTTCCTATTTTGAAAAGCAAACTGACCCCCATTTATTCAATTCAGGGGTCAGTAGGAATGGGCAAAATCCCCTTATGCTTTATTCATGATAGTTCATGAGTAGCAGTTCAGTAGTGTATATAATTGTTTACCCCAGGAAGCCACAAGGTGGTCTTATGGAACACCCTATCTCAACAGAGCTCCTGGTACCAGGAAAATTTTTATTGATCTATTGGCAGCTAGTGCAGATTTGTAAAGAATCATACCTAGCCAGGCAACACCTCCACTGGATGGGATCCAAATGAAAATGACGATAGGGTCCCTGAAAAAAAACAACAAAAAAAACAAAACAAAAGAAATGAAGTCACCCACTTTTATCACAATCTAGCTGGGACACTGAGAATAGCCATGGGGGTAGCTGAAAACCATCTGAGGAGGCAACACCAAATCATGTAAATAGTGAGATATAAATGTATTAGACATGGTCCACATACTAGCTTTTATTAATTCCTCCAGCAGGCAATGCAACCAAGCCACCAGGGACATCCAAATATGGTGAAATTGATGAGATGAGACTCGAAGAAGTCTCTGCTCCTCCAATGAAAGCCCAGAGTAAGCAATACAAATCAACTAACGAACCCAACCTGTCAAAGTGACAGGGAATAAGTCATGTGACACCGTAGGATTCCAATGAAGAAACAAATGGTGATGTGAACTCTGAAACTTGTTAGGGACACTGGGCACAAGAGACGACCTGGATCCAAACAGTCATATAAATCAGAAATGGAAGGAAGATGAATAGGAGAGAAAGCCTTACCCCTTTCTCTAGCCACTGATGTTTTGGGTAGAAAGGACCTAACTGGATACAACAGAACATATGTGGAATGGTAAAGAGTCCTATGAACATAAATCACAAACACATCCAAACATCAATGTTCACTAGCCAACAACAGAAGAAAATAAATATTAAGAAAAAGGTGATATAGGAACATGATGCCAAAGGTTCAAAGGGTGGATGAGATAATGCATGGAGAACCACTGTGAGATCCCAATTAAGAACTTGGAAAGGATGTCAAAGACAGATAACTCAAAAAAGATTTCAGAAGAAAAGACAAAACCGGTGACTCCTAGAAAACCAAAAGTAGCTGACAAAGCTGCCTTATACAAAGAAATGGGCGAAGACACCAAAACATTTATAGAATAACCATGTCAAAAATTGAGAAACATGTGGCACAGTGGGACAAGAAGGATTAAAACCATGTCTGAGAGACTACTCATAATAAGTAAACCATTTCTGTTGATAAACATCCAAAGAATGTCCAATAGACTGCATTAATAAAGATGCCACCCAATAGGCTCATCCTTGACATCATGCAATGGACTGCATAAAAGCCAAGCATGAAGTCAGAGAATAGTGATCACTAGAGGAAAAATGATTGACCGAGGCTGACATAAGAAAGACAGCCAGAGAGGAAGCAGAAGAGGTTGGCGCTCTTGAATATACTGAAGGAGTGGAAATCTAGGCTGAGCCAGCTAATGTAGCACCACCAGAAGAACTCAAATGAAAGACGAGCAAATCAGTTCAAGAATTTTGGATAACAGAAGAATCAGAGAGAACGTGTAAATATGAAGATCCGTCCAATCCTAGCTGAAAGCATCTATGCCCAAAGCCAGAAGGTGAGGTACAGGAGACCAGAAGGATGGGAGCTGGGTATTCCAGTGTGTGGCAACAGCATTGATCTGAGGCATCCCAAGATAAGAGCAGATTCAATGAAAGACTTTTGGTTGAAGTATCCATTCCATGGGAAGAACTCTGTTGGGATGAGGTAACTGATAAGCCACTAAATTCACTAAAGCATGACAACCAAGAAGAACAATCAGATAGTAGTCAGCCCAAAAGAGAAGATCCAATGTTTGAAAACAAAGACACCTGGAGTGAGCATCCTCTTTCTTGGAAATGTAGGCAATTACAATGGAATTGTCCAAGTGAAGCATTACCAACTTCCCTCGTAACAATGCAAGACCCTAAGACATAGCTCATTGAATCTGCTAGAAGCTCTCAGAGATTAATGTGGAGACATGATAACTCTTCTGCCCAGAGGCCCTAGAATTCCATATCCTATTCTATCCAAGAAACCCAGCCCTGGAGAGAAGCATCTGTGAAAAGATGTAGCTATGAACATGGGGGCAGGAGAGGGACAACTCCTGTTGTGTTGTCCCTGTCTAACCACCAGTGAAGATCGAACAAGCCGGAAGCTGATAGGGTCACTGGACAATCCAGCACATTTGTGCAAATGTTCCACTGGTCCCATAATGACCACTGAAAAGAATGCATGTGAGCCCAACCTAAAAGAATGAGTGATTCCAAGGTTACCCACATCCCCAAAGGAGATAGAACTGCATGCACCTGTGGAGAAGGAGACAACTTTATTAGAAGAACAGCCCATTCCATTGCCTGAAGGTGTAGAGGAGAAGGTTGGGCCTGACTGAGATGGGAATTGAAAAACACTCCTAAATGGATGAGATACTGTGTGGGAGTAAGAACAGACTTCTCCATTTTGATGAGAAAATGAGCTCTCACAGCTTCAGATAAAAGAGCTCAAGTGTGAATTTCTGCCAAGTGGTGGGAAGGAGCGAGAAGAAGCCAGTAGTCCATTTCATGATGAGTATGAATGCCCAATGAGTGAAAAGGATCTGACTATCTGACAAAATATGTATGGGGCAAATATGAGGCCAAATGGTAGAGCACAAAACTGAAATTCCTGTCTCTTGTACACAAAAAGGAGATAATGACGTGAAGACTCTGTGATCAGAATATAAAGATAGGCATCAACGACCTCAAACTTTGTCATCCATAGACTGGGTGAAAAATGACACCAATAAGTCAGGTTTAAAAACACAAAAAAGAAATCATCTAAAGAGTACATATAACTAAAGCCATTCAACACTGAAGAGAAACCTACAGCAAGCATGTAAATCTGTTGTCGTAACATTCTGCCATCAAGAAAAAGTTAATAGGAAGTAATAACGGGAAGTTTACACGGATCTGGGATAGGTGATGCACTGACGTTGGTGAAAAAAATCACAAGATTTAAATTGCTATGGGCAATATAGTGAGGTATAAAGGCTAGAGCAAGCAAGGTAAGATTCATACCAATGCTTAGATGGGCAGAGAAGAGTAACTTTTGTCAGGATAAAGCTATAGTGTGAGAGGAGGTAACTGTGTTTTGGAATTTTAATTCAGAACACACAGAAATCAACTCAAAATTTAAATTTATACGTATAAAATTAAACAAATAAAACCATTATTGAATAAATAATACTTCAAAGTTGATATTTAATATGTGGAAGAATGACTACAAGTTGATTTTTTATGGAATACACCCATCCAAGTGTGAAAGAGCTAAACAAATACTGAAAAAAAGTGACATTTTAATGATTAGACTTTTGCTATCTGAAATCATAACTGAACATAGCTAAGTGACTTTATTAACAACCTAAACCAACAACTTTCCTCTATCCAGTTTAAAAGTAGAAAAGAACTGACAGAATCCATTTCTGGATGTTTCAGTGAGAAAAATGGTCAAAATATATTGACTCACATATACAGGAAGTTGACACAGAGATGATATTTTTAGTTCTCCTAATGCTATTCTCCAGCTGTCACAAAAGGTACTATCAGCATCTTAATCGCCAGAACCTTTGAAATTCATGATTCTCAGTTCATTGTTTCTGAATTTGAAGATGTGTTTAGAATAACAAGAAACCTCAAAACTGGTTTGAAAGCAATTGAAACTATTCAACAAAAACAAAGAATTTCTTCTTAGAGCAGAGAAAACTCCCTACATTTGTACTTTCATATAAAAAGGACTTTCAACTAAAATCCTTTGAGTATGCTGAAAAGAAAAATAGGATAGCTTTTTTTTTTTCAATTCTTAAACAGTTTTAAACAAGATCAAACAATTTCAAGACCAACCACACAACAAAAAAAAAATGTTTACTGTTACACACACAAAGAAACATCAACTCGAAAACCAAAAGACCTTTTAAACATCAGAATAAAATACACTAATTAACATACTTAGAATGATATGCTTTCAAGAAATGAACTGGAGAAAAAAAATTTCTTGAATGAGAATATCCCTACATTAAGATAAATAAAAAAACACTTGCAAAAAAACAATGAACCTAAAAATGTCAACAGAAATTCTAGTAGATTCAAAAATCAGTTCTTATATGAACTTCTAATCTCCACACCCTCCCAGTAGCTAGTCAACCATTTTACACATTTTATTCCATTCCCTGTTCCAAAATTCTCAATGAGTTTTCCTTCATTGTCATTTTACTATTTAAAAAAAGTGATTATGTTTGTTTACCTGTTTATTTTATTTTGCACTGAATGATACTGATAAATATTTTTCATTATGCAAAGATTTTTACCCAGGTCTGGTAAGTGTGATTGGTGTTATTTACCCATTCATTGTGTTTGTGCCTAGTTGTATTATACACTAATATTTTTTGTCCTACTGCTATACTGTATAATCTTCAACCTCTTGATGTTTTTGCAGAACATTTGTTTTTTGTTAATAGAGAACACTGTTATGAATCTTTCATTTGCAATGACATACTCTGCTGTCCTAAGTTCCTTGTAGATTCTCATAATCCTTTGTCAGTTAGGTATAGCCACCTATTAAAGGGCATTTCTCAAATATCTTAAAATCATGGTTCAAATACACCTCAGAAAAGATATGAAGTATTAATCTAAAATATTTTTTTTATTTATCACATCATCACTTGTAACATTAAATATTTCATGAATCATGCTGCCTATCAACATCTCTCACAGAAGAAACTTTCTTACTTTAGTCTAACTACCTGCAAGGAAAAAATATTGCTTTTCACCCCATGTGGGGAAAGTATAAGTATAAAGCAAATGACACTTTAAGGTAATTATATCAACAAAAGGTGGCTTCACTATTTACTTAATGGTACAAAACACAGCCAACAGTTCAAACCCATGATATTTCAGAAATTACTTATTGATAATTAATTTTTCATTATCATTGAGCATTGATTTAGTCACTGCTTGTTCTGTTATTATGTACTAACCTCAAACACTAACAAACATTTTTTTATAATTTCAGTAGATGAAAAAATAACATTTCTTAAAAAAAGTTGTGTAGCAAAAAAAGGAAAAGTATTAAAAAACACTTCAAATAACACATTTACATTTCATATAAATGCACTAACTGAATGCTTTTGAAATACCCAGTAACACTGTATTTTATTCGATAGACTTGAAAATCATATAAGTTCATAATTTAATACCATACAATGACTAATTTAGTTAGAGCTTCATGTTAATAGAGCTAGGTGATTTAATCAATTACCAATGAGTAGCAATGACATCGATTAATGTAAAGTAAGCTAAATGATTAATCAAAACTATGATCAAATCAATTGTCACTAAAATGATCAACTATCAAAATTAGGGTTTCTGTTTATTTCAGCCTTCCAAGCAATTAAAATATTGCCACCAAATGTGCTTGCCCAGTTTTTGTTATGGCAAAGCAACAAAAGCTATGTGTCATTGTTACTAATTTTGAGCTGCTGAGAAGGGGGATTAAGGAAAGGCAACTGGCTGGCAGAATTTGCCACCAACTTTTTTTTTCTTTGTTTTTTTTGGAATTGCTGACAACAGGTCAGGCAACTGTGTGGGACACCTATCACTAACATTTTGTTGTTGGTTCTGTTGAACTGTTGACTATGGAGAAGGAAACTAACAGACAACACATGCTGCCACCTTTTTATCTTTTGCTTTTATCTACCAAGTCTTTACAATTTTTGAGGTTAAACTGTCAACAATACTACACACTGACATCATCAACTTAACTGTACATAATCGGAATCGGGCCAGCTGTGCACTATAATAATTGGCAATCTGATCAATGATCGGTAAAATTGTAATATTGTTTTTTACTTTTAGTTTTAGCTAATAAAGTCTGCAAAGTTGGATTCAAAAGTTTGTTCTATCATGCATACATTTACAAACAATGTACATGCAGTATAGTAGATTCTCCAAAAAACTTAAAAGTTTGCAATTTTTACTCGCCTGTAATTGGAAAGTGTTAATAAATATGCTTAGTATTCCAAAAATTGTTTAATTTTGATCTAAGTTTAAGGGAACTCCAGTTCAATCTACACTTTGATCAATGTGTGTTATTAGGTTATACTAGTTTTGGAGAATTCCTTTCCTCATCAGTAGCCCTGAACACAAGTTACCAAAAAGCTGGACCTACAACATACTGAAAAGTATCAAACATACTGTTGGTGTGAAGGTGCTTTTGTAATCGCTATGAGAAAAACCTATACTCTGGATAGGTGAAGTGAAGAAAAAGTGTCATTGGTAAGTACCTATTGGAAATACATTTTCAGTGTTAGAAAATGTTAACTTCCAAAATGGTACTACCTCCACTCTCCCATAGATAGAATATCACATTGGACAGGTGGAGGGGCTGGTGAAGGTGCAAAAACAAATAATCAAGCGGAGAGTGACCACTATGAAACAAAAGCAGGTTTGCCACTAATAAAATATGAAGCACACCTGTGGAGTATAGCACTACTTCTGGAACAGGTATGCTCTTCACCCAGTAAATAAGATAAAACACGTAGGGTGAAGATGAAAAGAATATATGGCTAGGGCTAAAGGACCCTATATGAATATGCCAGGTGCTATCATTCAGGCAGTAAACATCCAGGGGAAGCACCTTGGAACACAATGTATTATGCCAAGTGTGGTTCAAGGACAAAAACAACATGGAAGCAC